AGATAGATAGATAGATAGATAGATAGATAGATAGATAGATAGATAGAGGTAAAATATATCCTTCCTTGCTGCCATAAGGTGAGCAGACCATCTGTTCCATGTTCCTGCTACGATGATGTATTTTGTCACCTCAGGTCCAAAGCAGCAGTGTTAAGCGATCATGCACTAACCTCTGAAACTATGAGACAAAGTGAACTTTTCCTCCTTTTAACTTTATGTTCTCAGGTGTTTTGTCACAGTGACAAATACTGACAACACATAAACACAGCCGGTGTGCATCCCGTTTCAGCTTTGCCTGAGCTGAGGTTAATGAGCTGTTACGGTTTGAGTATGGAATATACCTGCCCCCTAGATTTAAAGACTGAAATCTATGAAGCTGTGAGTCAAAGAAACTTCCTTATTTAAAAGTCTTGAGTGTTTGATATAGTTAACAAGAATGGCCTACTGCTGTAGTCGGAGATGATTTCTCTACAGTTGTTCCTCAATTGGTGGCACTATTTTAGAAGTCTATGGACTTTAGACAATGGGGTCTAGCTTTCAGAGGTAGGTTGCTTGTGTCGCCCCTCTGCTTTCTGGTCCACTTCCTGTGAAGTGCTCCTGCTCCACATGCTCCTGCTGACACAGACTGGGCCACTAGACCTTGCCTTCCCTGCTGTGATGGACTGAAGACCTCTGAAACCATGAGCCAAATAAATCTTCCCCCCTAAGATGCTATAGTCACAGCAACACACGGAACTGACATCAGGTGATTCTTCTGGGTCACCTGATTGAGGTAAAGTATAAGACAGGAAGATACTATGTTGAAAACACCTTGATTTCACAAATGTTGCAATGCATGTGGACATATTTTGATGGTCTCTCTTGGGGCTGTGGAAGGGACACTGAGACTTTTCAGTCGTCCTAGCAGCTTTAGTTCCATTCATGGATTATTTTCCAGGTTAAATGTAAACTTTGATTCAAGGAGGGGTAGCAAACTAAAAATGTGACATCATTCATTTCTATCCCTCAGCAGCCAATTGGTTCAGCATAACTTGAACATGTGCCCTGGAGACAGATTCGCCAGGGGCACTGGTATACTGCCAGGGGCTATTCTTTAAAGGAGACAATGAAAACATGGAAAAAGAATTTGAGGATGAGTGGCTTAAGTGTAAATCTGGAAGCCCAGTGAACTCACTTCCCGATGCATCCTCTAACAGGATCTTGCCAATCACATAACTCACTTCAGTGCTTTGGCATCTCATATTACTTTTAAGTACCAATACTTGTTACGATGTTATTTTGCTACGGTTTTATTTGAAATCTTAATCACTCTGTCTCAATAAAACTCAGATAACGCTGCACTAAAACTGCTATTCCTTTAACAAGGAGTCTATCCACTCATCCTCATGCAAAATCTACAGTGAGGACAGAGAGGTGGCTTACCGGCTAAGAGCACCGACTGCTCTTACCGAGGAGCCATATTCAATTCCCAGCACCATGGTGAGTTACAACTATCTGTAAATTCAGGCCCAGGGGCTCTACCCGACACCTGCTTCAGGCTCCCACAGGCATTAGCACACATGTGGTGCAGTCATACATGCAAGCAAATCACCCACACATACAATAATTTTAAAAATAAAGCTTCCATGGCATCTTATGGCTATCCTAACTTCTGTTTCCCAGAATGCGCATGAAGTTTAAAAGTTCATGATCTTTTATTGCTTTGCTGCCGAGTGAGGGGAGGGGAAAGGTAGCATAGAAATTATTTTAAGCTCCTATCTTCCAGATGGCCAAAGATATGAGTCTTATGTTAAAAGTTGTGCGGACTGGGCAGGGCTGAAGAGGTGGTTCAGTGATTGGAGCACCTGCTGTTCTTGCAGAGGACCTCAGTTTGATTCCCAGTTCCTATATTACGTGGTGGTTCACAACCACCCATAACTCCAGTTCCGGGAGAT